CTGAGACGGAAATCGAGTTTTTTATTGGTTGTAGGCTGGATTTAGTAAACAAAACAATACTCCTGTATTCTATTACATTGCTCGTCGTTTTAAAGTCAACGAAATGAATTGTGACTTGTTGATTTATCATGTTCTTCTAACATTGAAACCATTTCAAGCCAAACCATTCGAATTGGTCGTTGATTTCACCCACACATGCACAGATAATCGTTTTAAGACCGATTATTTGTCTAAATGGTTCATTTGCATGCCGGATTGTTTCTATTATAATCTTCAAGCTTGTTACATCTATAATTGTAATTCTTGGGTGAGAGAATATACGAAATATCACGATCGAATCTTGTCAACGATAAAAGGTTCGAGAAAATTAATTTTTCTCGATCATATCTCACGTTTGAGCGATTTTATCGAACCCGATCAACAAAAATTACCTGGACATACTTTATCACTCGAAGAGGATCTGAAAGTATTTAACAATGCATTGAAACTGTCCCATAAAGACACAAAAGTCGCTATCAAAGTTGGTCCACAAGCAATTCAAGTGACATCAAGTGAAAAAACGAAAGTTCTCAGTCATAGCGTCTTATTAAATGATGTTTATTACGCATCAGAAATCGAAGAAGTCTGTCTAGTCGATGATAATCAATTCACATTAACAATTGCGAATGAAACTGGTCCACTTTCATTTATTCACAACGATTGTGATAACATCGTTCAAGCAATTATTCACATCCGAACACGATGGGTAAATAAAGAAGAGAAGAAAAAAATGTGTTTGTTTTTGTACCTTGACTCTGCATTTTTTTTAGGAACTTGCTCAACCTGATTCGATTCAAATTCATAATAAAATTCGCCCAAAAGATGTTCCTGGAACATTGTTGAACATTGCATTGTTGAATTTAGGATCTCTTGATCCATCGTTACGATCAGCTGCTTATAATCTTCTATGTGCTTTAACGCAAACATTTGATTTACGTATCGAAGGTCAACTCTTGGAATCGTCGGGTTTGTGTATTCCATCGAATAATACGATTTTTATTAAAACAATTTCCGAAAAATTGGCATTGAAAGAAGCACATTTAACATTGGAATTTCTCGAAGAATGTATCGAAGGTTTCCGAAATTCTACAATTGAACTAAAACATCTCTGTTTGGAATATATGACTAAATGGTTACCAAATTTAACTCGATTCTGTAAACAAAATGACGATAATAAACGAATGAAAGTGTCGATGATCTTGGATAAACTGATTACATTGACAATCGACGAAGATGATATGTATCCATCAATTCAGGCAAAAATTTGGTCAAACGTTGGACAAGTTAGCGATCTATTAGATATTGTTCTCGATTGTTTTATCAAAAGATCTGTTCTCGGTGGTTTGGGTTCGTTACCTGCTGAAATTCTTGCTGATACCGCTGTTGCTTTAGCTAGTTCAAACGCTTTACTATTCTCTCGAAAAGTCATCGGTCGTCTATGTCGTTTAATCGAAAAAACATGTCTATCACCAACACCGACATTAGAACAACATCAAATCTGGGATGATATCGCCATTCTACTTCGATATTTACTCATGCTTTCATTCAATAATTCACTTGACGTAGCGTCTCATTTACCATTTTTATTTCATATTGTCACGTTGTTGGTCAGTACAGGACCATTGACATTGCGTGCTTCAACGCATGGTCTTGTGATCAATATTTTACATTCATTATGTACATGTTCTCAACCACAATTTAGTGACGAAACACAACGTGTTCTTCGCTTGTCCTTAGCAGAATTTTCGCTACCGAAATTTTATGCTTTGTTCGGTTTATCGAAAGTCAAATCAGCGAGTGTTATTGCATTTCGCACAGGTTTTATCAGACAACAGCAGCAACAACAACATTCAAATCAATTATTATCTCAAGACAAACAACAACAACAAATTTCATTTGAACGAACAATTGCCATAAGCAATGCATATTCACCAACTATCGAACAACCTGAACGAATGAGTTTAACCTCACTAGAAACAATTACCGATACTTTGTTAGAATTGATGGAAGCTTGTATGAATGACATACCTGATTGTGAATGGTTAGCTCAATGGCAAGAGTTAGCTAAGCGTTTTGCATTTCAATTTAATCCTGCTTTACAACCACGTGCAATGTAAAGCATTTTCTTCATTATTTCTTTTCTCATCGAAATCTTCCTTCCTTTTTTTCTTTTAGAATTGTATATGGCTGTATATCAAAAAGTACGAGTGATGGAGAAATCAAAGCTTTGTTACGAATACTTGTGAAAGCACTGGAATCGTTTTCTGATATTGATTTGATTGATGCAATAATCATGTGTTTAACACGGTTATTACCGTTATTATCACCTGAATCGAAGATACATAAATTCATGTTTTGGATTGCTTTATCGATACTTCAATTAGAAGAAACACAGTTATACGCGTCTGGTTTAGCTTTACTCGAACAAAATCTTCATACACTTGATCATATGTTAAATCTATTTGAAAATACGAACACCCACCAACAGCAAACATTGGAACGAATCATGATGGATGCACGCGAACCATTAGAATGGCAATTCAAACAATTGGATGCAAGTATGGGTTTGTCATTCAAATCCAATTTCAATTTTGCACTCGTTGGACATTTGATCAAAGGTATTTTCATTCTATGAAAGCAAACATGATATTCAATAGTGAAGTTGTTTTTCTTTTTGCTATTTCAAGGATTTCGTCATCCCGTTCAATCGACTGTTGCGCGTACAACTCGTGTTCTTTCAACTCTTCTTAGTATTGTTGCTAAATCTGAATCTCATGATAAATTTAAAGTCACACCAACATCTGTTCCGTACTTAGCCGCGTTAGTCAGCGTTGTCGAAGAAGTTCGTACACGATGTCCTGTTAAACATCGTCCTATCAACGTTCCATCAACAACAGCCAATACAAATTCTACGAATGCCTCTCCGTTTAATTATCCATCATCTCCCTCCAATCATCCACTTTCTCAAATTCCTCAATCTCATTCAAGTACATCTATTGCTGATTTTACTGCCATAACTGCAAATACACCTTCCTCATCGTCATCTGTCCTGACAAATCCATCATTACTTCATATTCAACAAGGCTTATTTCCACGTCGTCAAAAGTCATGGGATTCTTCTTATATTGATAAATCACGAAAAGTTGGGGGAGTTATCACAATGACCGGTGCTCGTTTATTATCTGTTCCACCCCATGCACGCCATTGGCATTCGTTTGATATTGAACATGCTGTACCGCGAATATTGACAAAACCAGCTTCTACGTTGGTTCAACTACAACAAGTGAAGCCAGTTGTACCAATCATTGCAGTGACACCACAAACTGCACCTGAAACTCAACAAACATCCGAAGTAACTCATCATTCGTCTTTCTTAGAGTATATTTAAAGGATTTTTTCTTCTGTTTAGACAAGTAGTGAAACGAATCTTCTGTTAGATCCTGATGTTATCACAGACACATCCACTCAAGCTTTGTTATTAACTGTATTAGCAACACTTGTTCGTAATACTTCCGATGAGAACGAAATGCGTATTATTTATGAATATCTAGCTGAATCAAGTATTGTTTTCCCAAAAGTTTTCCCCGTAATTCATAATCTATTGGATGCAAAAATCAATTCTGTTCTTTCATTATCGCATGACGAATCAATTCTCGCCTCCGTTCAATCCGTAATCTATCAAATGATTGCTTGTTCAGCCGGTGATGATGCTAGTCAACAACAACAACAATTGAGTTATTTACAATCATGTGGTTTTGGTGGTTTATGGCGTTTTGCTGGTCCATTCACTGTTTCACGGCAAAATCCAGATAATGTGGAATTGTTTGTTAATTGTTTAGAAGCCATGGTTGAAACATGTTTACCGTCATTAGATGAACATGAGGATGGATCGGAAAGTGGTTTGAATACAGGAAACAGTTTAAGTGGAAATAGTCGAACTAGACATGCATCATTACATCATCATCATACGTTTCGACATCATCATCATTATTCAGCATCATCGGCAGCTGCGTGTCTCAATGCAAATTTGTCATCTTCACTGTCGAGTGTTTCAATAGGTGAGACAGAATGAAAAGAAAGAGAAAGTTAAATAAGACGTATTCTCATCCTTTAGATTCGATTCGATCTCCGACGGATCGTGATGCTCAATTTTTCGATTTGAATGATCTGAATCGACCGACTCAATCCCAGTCATCAACCAATGCCTATAGTCGATCACATATTACACAAAAACCTAATCTTATCTAAGTTAATGTTGTTTTGTCATGTCTAATCTAGTCATACTTTATGTTGTACATTATTTATAAGAAAACATTCAAGTGCCCAAAACATTTATACATACATATATTTTTGATTATTCTAATGATTTTCTTTTCTTTTTCGATGTAGTTTTTTTGATGTTGATCAAATAAATAAAAGTCTTTTCAAAATTGAATTAGATCGCTTTCTAAGGATATGAGAGTGGGTTGCGGAAAACAAGAATTCATTGAGACTGATATAATTGAATTCAAGTTGAAAATTTGACACCGGTGAAACAAAAACATTTACGTAACAAATTCTTTATGTTTTGTTTCACAATGAATAATGTTCCTTCTAACATAGAACAAATAAAAATCATTTAACAAACCGTCTCGTTTCGTCGAAGACATCTCATTAAAACGTATATTTTCCTATGACATCAGCAATTATTAATTCTTTTACGTCACATATTTCTTAGAAATAATCATTTGAGTGTTTAGTGAGCAAATAAAACTATTCTCTTTGTTTTTTGACCTGCATTGCGCGAAAAGTACATTTATAATTGTTGCTACTGACAAACGTTCTTGTGCTTGAAGCTCATAACCAGTTTTTCTATTCTTTGACTAGAAATAGACTATGAAAGTAATCGGAAAGAAAAACAGAAGACAAATTTCTTCTCAAAGAATCAACAAATTCTTTTTCTCATAACAAAAGAGTGCTGTATGCCACGTTTTATCAAGAGAATTTTTCAAAATCTTTGTTATATTATTTCAATCTCGATAATAATCATAGTTATTTATGATCAAAGTAAGTTTATACAAGATGGTCTCTTCCCGAAATCAAAACAAGAATTGACAAAGACGTCAATTGCTATTCCAACAACAGTTTCCAGAAGAATCACACTTCATCGAAATTCACCAATTGCTGATGAAAACCGATTGAAAAGTCTTGAAAAACAATGTGGACATAGTTACAATCCATATTATCGAGGTTATTCCAAGGTACTTCATTCGGATAAAACATTAAATTATCTTGGTTTTCTTCTCCAATCTCATTCATTATTCTACTGTGCCGTACCAAAAGTTGCTACACGAACTATTCTTCCTTTTATCACATATCTTCATGTACGCGATGATTTGTTACCATTAACAAAAAATCATTCTTCACAAATGAATATGTTCAATTCAAAATCACAAAAAATCACGAACACTTTCAATTCTGAATATATAATGAAAATGATTTTTAATTCATCTCAGGTAAGTTGAAGTATCTGCAGGGAAAAACCCAAGGCGTTGTGTTTCTCTTTTCATTGTATTCGTTTGATTTCAAATCAACGTCACATTCTTTTTTCGTTTCCGATGTCTTTCGATATAAACAAAACACTTTTTAGGATCGTCTAGGAAAACCAAACATAGAATTATCCACGATTCTAACATCATTTTTATCACGTCTAATCCGTAAAAATGCATCTAAAGTTGATCTTTGGCTTTTGTATGAACAACAATCATTACCATACATTCGTCTTCGCAATTTAATCGATACATCACGAATCTTTTCTGCAAATTTCACGCGAGCGATATTTGTTCGACATCCGTTAGATCGTCTGGCATCAGCATACATAGATAAAATTGCTTCATTGAAAAATCGATCATCATCTTACGATGGACTACGTCAAAAGATTTGTCAACATAATTCTTTGTTCTATTTGAATATTTCCAAACCGAGATTTTCTTTTCAGCAAAAGAAAATCTTTTCCACCAATGCTGTTGAAGGTTGTCGAAATGTGATTCCAACATTCGAACATTTCCTTCAGTATATTTTCTCCAAAGGACTCAGAGACGATGTTCATTGGCAACCGTATACAAAATTGTGTCAAGTTTGTTTACTGAAATATAACTTTATTGGTAAATATGAGACCATTGGGACAGATTTACAAAGATTAATGATGTTGTTGGGAATCAATTCACAAAAATGGAATCAGAATGATTATGCGAAAACAGGAAAGACGAAGGAAAATTATCAATCGTTATATAAAGATCTATCGTATCAAATGCTTTGTACTTTGAAACGATTTTATCATGATGATTTTAATGTGTTTAATTATCGATTTGAGGATTATTTAATTAAGAAAAAAGATCTTCATTGTCCACAAAGATCTTTTTCGGGAAAATTTCAATAAAATTGTCAATGATATTTCGATGAGACAAAAAAAGAAAATGTGAATTTCTTTATTAACATGTCTTCTCTTTATGATTTAACCATACAGAAGAATATTCATTACAATCAAATATTCATTGATTCTCTCTGTCGCTCCTGAGAACATCGATTTTAGTATAATATATCTTAACCATTTGAAAATAACCTTCTATCATCTCCAAAGTGATACCATAGTGATCTTTGTTCAACTGAATTTGAATCTCAATCTTCATCATGTCACATCGTTTTGTCCATCAATTCAAGGATTGTTTAGCGTTGATGATGGAAATGGAGCTTTTGAAAAGAAGCCGAAAGCTAAAAAAATGAATAATATATAACGGAGAATGAGAATCCAATCTCAATTTTGAAAATCATCATAATAAATACAAATTTCGTCTTCCCAATATATTCCAATGATTCGACAGACATATCAATGTTAAATAAACATCAATGTTTTCACTTATCAAATGGTAGTATGTAACTGTCAGATAGAATCACAATAAACATATCTTTAAAAGAACGAAAGAATCTTTATTCGATTATGGAATGAATATTTATTATCAACGAGAATAAAACATCTGACAAAAGAAAACTAATCTGATTATTAATTGTTATGTATGTAAAAGAAATTCAATAAAATCGTGATAATTAATTGAGCCAGTTTTGTTCGGATCGGCTTGGTTAATCATATCATCAGCTTCGTCTTCAGTTAATTCACAATCCCAAAACTAAAACAATGAATTCTTCTCATTTTCTTCGGAAAATTGATCTGAAAAGAAACTTTACTCGAACGAATTTTTTTAATTCATTTGCATTAATTGTTCCATTTTTATCTTTATCAAAAACATTAAATGTTCCTCGAAGTTCTTCTTCAAGATCTTGTTGATTAATCGGTGTTGTCATGATGGAAAGAAACTCTTTCATATCGATTCCACCTGATTGATCTTCATTAGTTGATCCAATTAACAAATGCGCTTCGTCTACCGAAATTTTCATATCTTCACAAATGAACACAAAGTCAATGAGTGAAAAACAACATTGGAAACTACCTGCGGCTTTTGCAACTTGAAGAAGATCATCCGGACCGATAAAACCTTTGGCCCGAATATCCATAAGAGAAAACGATGCTTGAAAATCTTGGATTTTTTCTGCGGATAATTCAATCGGTAACGATAAATTTTGCGCTCGCGTTCCGCCCGCTAATTCATTTTCGCTTGTCATGTTTAGAAAACAAAAATCTTCTAAAAAAAACGTCTTCGATATAAAGCTGATCTTATCTATTGGTTTGCTTCTTCATTATTACAAATATCTCATATACTAAATACACACACAATGTATTAAAGAAGAGAAACATCGAATAACATTTGAATTGAGAAAAAAAAAGTTTTTCGACTCGTTAAAAAAACAGACAAATGAAGTTTGTTCTATCTTTTTCTGTCATACAGCAATACATACACACAAAAAAGAGAGTGAAAAGAAGATTTATTGAATGTTTAGAGTAGATAGAGAGATAGATGAAGAGAATTCTTTGTATGTTGCCANACAAAATGCGCTGGGAATTCAAAAGTAACAATCCATATGAAAATCGTCGAGCTGAAGGCGAACGAATTCGTCGAGAATATCCGGATCGTTGTGCAGTTATTGTTGAACGAGCACCAAATTCACGTGTCGGAGATCTTCCATCAAAGAAATATTTAGTACCGAATGATCTAACGGTAAAATCGAGAGTTTATTCTTTAGAAAAAAAACATTTTTCTGGTTTAGGTTGGTCAATTCTACTTTTTAATCCGAAAACGAATTCAACTTCGACCTGAAGACGCGCTTTTCTTTTTCGTCAACAATGTAAGATCATTCCTTTTCATCAATTCGATTTCATTTGTTCTTTTACAGACGATTCCAAGTACGTCGATGACAATGGGCGCTCTTTATCAAGAACATGTGCGTATTTTTCCTTCGAAACTTGAAATTTGATTTCAATTCTTTTTTTTGTCTTGTAGGCTGACGAAGATAAGTTTTTATATGTCGCTTATAGTGACGAATCAACATATGGTTAAACTGATCTGACGCTTTCTCATCTGTGTATATAAATGTAGAAACAATCTATTTGAAAATGAACTTTATCTCATTGTCTTGTAACTTTATTTCTCTCACTTTTTTTTGTATAAACATTTATTTATTCGAGATCATTCTTCGTTCGCTTTTACATACATAGAAAGAAAATAATTGAACAATTTTCAATGTAAAGTTAATAAATAGATGTTCTGTCTGAAAAACTAAATGTGGTCGGCGTTATTTCAGAATGCAAAGATTTATTTTATGAAAGTATTCAACTGTTCGAGGTCAGAGGGTGTGAAAGTGTTCTCCGATGATGATTTGTGAGACTGAAGTTCGAACTCGTTTAAATCTATCGAATCACTGAGCAAAAAAGAGTGTCATACTGTTCGTTGAAGATTAACAAGAGAATGCACTTTTATTCATGTTCTTTCGAAATGAGTCAACGAGAATCTTCTAGAAACGTTTTTGTCGCGATTGTTACTATAAATAGGTCAATCTCTCATCGTAGGAATAAATACAATTACAAAGATCAGAAATATCGTGAGAAAAACTATGCAGAATGAAATCTGTATTGAATAAACACATTTCGATTTTCTATTCGGCATAAATGAAATGAATTCTAAAAGTAATCACCTTACTTCTTTTGTTTCTGTCTGCTTTTAAACTTAAGAGTATTCGTTTTCTCTACACCGTTGAAGCACAAAATTGAAATGAAAACCAGGAAGTGCCATGAACTTCATTCTGATTGTATAAAAACCTCCTGAAGATTTCTTTTACCATATTAATTTTCCTCTAACAACAATATTGAGTTCATTGACACCAATTCAGTTAGTGCAACAGTAACTACTTCGTTATATGTCTCTATTTACGATCATTGTCGGTACAATTGGGAATACTCTTAATTGTATCATATTTACTCGTCGATCGCTTCGACGAAATTCTTATTCAATCTACTTTTTTACATTGAGTATTGCGATCTAATTCATTTGTGTAACTCGGGTCTTATACAGTTTTTCAATTATCGTTCCGCTTACTCAGATAGCTTTCTATTGTAAAACGAAGACATTTTAAACTTATATTGATTTACCAGGCTCGGTCTTGTTCATTGTAGGAGCTTGTATGGATCGTTATGCGTCAAGCGCATCAGCAACTCTCGAACTTGATCTTTCAGTCGAACTGACGATTGCTGGTCAAGTTATTACAGGCATTGCAATTCTTGTTCTCCTAGTTTACTTTCAAATGAATATGTGTTTTGATGGAAGTGTTCAGTCAGCTAATTGTTACGCTTTCCTCGTCATTTTGTAGGACATGGAATGATTTGAAGTTATCGGAGTAATTTGTACTGCTGTACTTTCGTTCCCAATTTTAGTTCAGAAAATCTGTTCAGAAATGACTTTACATCAAAGAAACGCAAGAAATCAAAAGTTTCTTTGCAACGTTCGTGGTTTTATTAGCTTTTCTAAACACTTCAACATCATTGTATCTATTCATATTGACCGGAAAAGTTCGCCGAAAAGATTTAAAGCAACTCTTTTACCCAAAACGAAAACAACAGATAAAAATGACCTAAATAAAGAAAAAGCTTCGCATTTAATTGACATATTGCGTCTTTTGAAAACAAAATAAAGATTTTCAGACAAAAGTAGAATTTCATCTTCTAGTAAATATATCTGTCGTTATTACTAATACAGTTTGGCAACATATGGCTCAATGTGTGATGCACTCGAGATTGAAAATAGATGAAAAGTGATTTTCTCAATACGTCTACTCTTCTTTGACTTTTACGTATTCATTATCATCATCATCATCTATCTATTCGAAGATGCGACGCCACATTTTCGGAATTAAGTGAGCGTCTGGAAGAATATTTATAATCGGACAAAACATGAGAACGACTGAGTATCAATGTGCTGGTTGTGTTGGACATACAGTCAATAAGAACTGCGACCTTTTGAGGAAGTGTTACGTAATTCAACGTAAAAACAAGAACAATTTGCTCTTCGAACTTTAACTAGATATGCAACTATTTTGATACAAAAAGTGAAAAAAAAATCGAAAAATTGCGGCATCTCTTGAAAGCTTGTGAAAACACGTTTTCTGATAAAAAATTTTGAAAAGATCACGTGTATTGGAATGCCTTCGGAAATTCTTCTACCATTACCGAACTCGAAGTGAATGAATGAGGTATGTAGGTTATCATTTGCACGTCCCATTATTGCTGTACAAAGAAAAATGACCGTCGTTCGATCCGACTACACAATCATTTTCGTGTTAAAACAAAGGAAACGTTTCTCTGATTGATCGAGGTCTAAAATATCATCTACATGTGCGTTAAACAAAAGAAAAGAGAAAGTGAACGAACGAAATAGATCTAATCTAATCGTCATTTATTGATTTAAAACATGACTAGTAACACATCCCGTCGTCATCCATTAAAACGCGTTCGACCAGACCATGAAAATCAGGGTTCATTTATTTCTTCTAATGAACAAACAAAGAAAAAACTTTGTCGACAATCTTCCGAAGGTTTTCTAATTGATTGGATTCGAACTTGACGAATATGAAGATATGTGTTTTTTTACGTTCATTTAAGATTCTGCATTTGTTGAAAATGAGAAATCGTCTGATGAACGTGCATTTGATCTGTTTCACAAGTAAAGTCTTTTGTTGTCACATCGAAGAAATCCTTTCTTTGTATTCTTTCAGTGAATATTTCCTTCAATTTCGTCCATATTTCAAACATCGCCCGATCGTTACTCAATTTATTGAACATCTTTGGTCCAACATGACCGAACTTGCCAAGGTATCATTTGTCAAGAAGATTCTCAAAGAACAAGGAATTTACGATATTTCATCGCGAAATTTTCATGAAAATGAAACATTTTCCAATGATGGTACAGAATCTCCTTCGTCTTCGACAAAATTCTTCTCCTTTTTCGTATAGAAAATGATTCTCAAATCAATAAATCCTTGAACGAAAGTCGAGCAAATCTTCCTACGTGGAAAACAGACAATAGTTACAGTCGAAGTTTCATAAACGATCTTTTAAACTACATGAAATATTCCATCGCACCTCGATTTACTGATAAAAAGTAAACATATTATAATCAAAGGACCAAATTTGTGAGATTTTCTTTTATTTATAGATTATCGGCAAAAATTCCTGCTCCACTTCGACGATCTTCACGTATACGTCGAGCACCGAGTAAATGTTCTTGTTCATCGTGTATAACAACGCACGGATCTGAAGAACACTCGACGTCTATGTCGAATCTGGCTGATGGTTCAGGTAAGAAGCTTATCTGAAGTGAAAAACCACTTTTTCATTGGATTTTTAGAATATCGAATGTTTCAACATTTGATTGACCATTTTCATCNAAAATTCCTGCTCCACTTCGACGATCTTCACGTATACGTCGAGCACCGAGTAAATGTTCTTGTTCATCGTGTATAACAACGCACGGATCTGAAGAACACTCGACGTCTATGTCGAATCTGGCTGATGGTTCAGGTAAGAAGCTTATCTGAAGTGAAAAACCACTTTTTCATTGGATTTTTAGAATATCGAATGTTTCAACATTTGATTGACCATTTTCATCAACTGTAAGACAAACATGAACAAAGAAGTGTCAATAAATATTCGATTGTTTTAGTGATGATCAACTTGAAAATCGTTCAACTGAAAATGTCAAACCAATTGAAGATTCAACTCAAATGCCGCTAAGCGAAGTTTGAGTTTTTTCATTTTTGTTTTAAATGATAAAGTTTGATTTTTAATAGATCAATGAATCAATCACCGCTCCACTCGTATCCGAAGTTCCAACTGAACAACCGTCATATTCAACTGAATATTCAACTGATTCAGCGATAACTTCAGCTGAAAATGATTGTTCAATTCATAATTCAGATGAACGCCCAGCACGACGTACTTATGTTATATTAACAGAACTTGATGAACCATTTTTTGGTCCTTATTCAATTGAATTTACAATAACAATTTAAAATTCTCTTCTTTCTTTTGTTCTTTTCAATATACCCGATTGCTTGTGTTTGTATTTTTTGTAAATCACTTCCAGTTAGTTTTTGTTTATATATATATATTGTGTATTCATTTCAAATCTATTCTATACATACATTTCATTAAGAATTTCTCTCTCTCTCTCTATTTTGAAATATTTTCTTTTCTTCTTTTCCTTCTATGATGAACAGACACAATACCCATAATTTTGTTAAATAAAGCATCTTTATTAGCAAAGATCAATAAATACTTGTTGCTTAGTTACTCACAGCTAAAACCATCCGAGCATCAGTAGATGTCGCTTTTGCAAAATTGATAAATATTTTGCTTTGTCTTTCGAATAATTCATCGCATGAACGAATCATTCTGCAATGGATATTGATCTGCGAAGTTCGAATGAAAATATCTAAGCGGAGTCTCTGCTGTAACAACGATAGCTATGATGTCTTGTCATTTGTAAACTATGGTTGTTGGGCATAAAACATATACTCACAGAAAAGATTTTGTTTTTTGATTGCTGTTTAGTGACATGATTTGTTTCGTTGTGAATATCTTTGAATTACTTATTCAGATTTGAGAATAATCAATCACGATTCTTCGCAGGAAATATGGCCGCTACACTTGTTAAACCACCAAATTCAACATATACATTTGCCAGTCAACCTAAAGCCGTCCAACAATTGCAAGGACAACGACAAAAGTTTCGGCAAGCACCTGTTGATTCGCAGTATGTTCCGTTGATTTGTTTCACTTGAGTCCTGGCAATATTTACTTCAGGGATGAAAGCAATATTTATGGAAACATCATGTATGATCGTCGTGTTATCCGTGGAAACACTTATGCACTTCATACACTTCCTGCTGTGAGTGACTTTCTTGGTAATTTGACAATAAAATTCGAGCTTTATATTCTGTTTAAATAGAATGCTCAACCAGATCCGATTGAAGTTCAACGTCAACAAGAGGCGAAACGACGAGCGATAGCAAGACGAAAAGCTCGAGAACAGATTCGTACAAGAACACCTGAACCTGTACATGATCGAAGAAATGTTGACGTTCAAACTGAACTCTATCTTGAAGAACTCAGGTAACGAAGAATATTCATTGACATCGATATTGACAAAACGGTTCTGTTCAATCTTCAGCGATCGAATAGAAGAAGCCGATGTTGACGTTCAAACAGATGCATTTCTTGATCGTCCACCATCACCTTTATTCATTCCACAATCAACTGGCAAAGATGTTTCTACTCAAATTGAAGATGGCGATGTAAAACTATTCCTTATTTCTTGTTTTGGATAAACGTCCATTTTCTCTTTAGTTGTTTGATTTCGATCTCGAGGTAAAACCAATCGTTGAAACACTAGTTGGTAAAACAGTTGAACAAGCATTGATTGAAGTCGCCGAAGAAGAAGAACTTGCCGAAATTCGTGAACAACAACGAGAATATGAAGAATTGCGTAATGCTGAATTAATTGAATTACAACGATTAGAAGAACAAGAAAGACGTTTAAGAGCTGAGAAAGATCGACGAATGCAACAAGCGAAAGAATCACTTCAAGCTGAACAAGATGTTGCACAAAAGATTGCAGCGCGAGCTTTTGCTAAAGCCTATTTACAAGATCTTGTTCCAAGTGTATTTAACAACTTGAGAGAAAATGGATACTTCTATGATCCTGTTGAACACGGTAAGAGACTTTCGTTTGGAAAATTAAATAAAAATATACATATATGAATTTACTTTAGAAATTGAAACATCATTTATGCCTTGGTTAATGAATAAGACTTTGTCACATGTTAATCAATTAGTACTTGGTCGAACTATTCTTGATTCAATTATTCGTGATGTTGTCAATCAACGAATTGATGATTATGAAAAATTAGCAGACACATTAAAACAAGTTATTGAAGGTGCCGTAGATATGGGAACATCAACTGGTGATGTTGTACTAAATACTGATCGACATGAATCGGGACATGATGAAGCACCTGTGAATACTAATGACGAAGGAGAAACAAATGTCAGTGCCTTGCCAACTGGTAAATAAATATCATTTTTTCTTTCGTTCGACAAATAGATCAATGGAATAAATGTATTTAGATGATATTCTTGATGAACGTGATGAAGATCAAGCAAATGCAGAAGAAGAAACAGGCGCTGAACAATAATTTGATCTTGGGAAAATCTTTCGTTTCTTTTTTTTTGCTTCTAAACTTAGTTCATGTTTTTGTCTATGTCTGCTTTTTCATTTTATCGTCGGAAACCAACAATAATAAATTTTTTTTGAATACAAAAGATTTTCTGATCTTCTTTAGTTAATCATATTCACATGATACAAATTAGCTTTTTGAATGTGTACACGAAGCACTTCCAGCCGCACTTTACAAGGTTATGATAGCTTGGATGATACGATCAAGTTCGAAGAAAATATGATGTATTAAAAAAATCTAAGTTGCCCTTATTGATGTCAAAACCTAAAGCATTCTTTTTTTCAAGTATTTCTAGAACTTTTCAAACATAGTATTCTATGAAGAGAGTGTATTTCTATTATAAAACATGCATTGTACTATCCTTTTCTCAGATGTATTTAACACGCCAACTGTTCAATCTCAATCAGTATCATGTAGGCGAATCAATGATTCGGTGTCAAAATTGAAATTAATATAAGTTAAACTTTATACATTCTTTCTTTCAATAAAGTACAAAGAATATTTAGAAATTTTCTTTTGATTGAAGTATGCCACTAGCTTTCATTTTCTGAAATATCTTTGACAGTTACTCGATTTTGTTCATCAAGATATTCAAATATTATACAAAAGAATAAAAGCAATCATATGAAACAAAATTGATTACACATTAGGCGACTTTGGTTATAATCTCATATGAGTTTTCATCACTTCAACATTCTCTTTAATATATCTTTGATACATATATAATTTTTTGTTAAATGTCCATGTTGATCCCATTTTCGAATAAGCTCAGCATCTTTTTGTTGTTCGGGAGTAAGCCAAGGCCAAAATGATCAATTGATGCATTTCTCAGGCGTGTTTCTTGACGACTAAATAATTCGATTATTGATCGTGCAACAATATTAGTTGATGCTTCTGTTGACAAATTGAAACATTTGATTACTTTTTGAGTTGATTACTTAGCTATAAACGAGTTTCTTTCCCAATGATGAACCTGTTGTAGAGTTTTTACTAATTCATTGTTTATCATATGTAGTTTGTTGCTTTTTTTATGTAATTCTTCACAGACAGCGTTTAGTTTCGTATGGAATAAAACAGACAATGGGAGCATAGTTTGTTCAACTTTTTAAATGAAATCAATTTGAATCGAGGATGTATGTGTATCGGTGATATCAGAAAGGTTCTTCTTAAATTCATTATATCTTCTTGCATTTTTTGTTTTCGTAAACCTAAAAGACAATAGAAATACAAATACAAATCGAACAAAATCACAAGAGAGAAAAGTAGATTTTTAGTTTATGATAATAAGATTAATAGTCAAAAGAGAACAGAGTAAGACAGCTCAGACATCCACACTGTTCACCCACGTCGACGTTCTATTCCAAGAATTTGTTTATTATAATTATTAAAATATCACCTGAATGCCGTCGTAAAGAATGAATATAAAAATACGACAAAAGGACGTTTCCTATACGTGTTGTACTGTAACTTGATTTAATCGAAACATGATCTCCATTATGATATCGAATCTAAACTGAGCGAAAGTGGGTGAGAAATTATGTAGAAACCTTCACTATTTAAATCGAGTTAACGATTTCTACACTACTCCTTTTCTGTATCTGAAATGACTACCGTATTAGATCGTTTTCGTTCCAATGTGACACGAGAAAATGATTGAATAGAATGTCAAATTTATTGAATTCAACCAAATGACGCGCGCACAAAGTTTATTTATTTATTTTCTTAATAAAGAAAAACAAATGTATTCATCTGCACCGGCCTATACGAAGCAAAATTTTCATATTTTTTATGGTAATATGTTGTTACCAGAAGCAGATTTTATTACTTTCCAAGACTTAGGTGAAGGATGGGGTATGATCTCACTCGAAATAACATAATTACTATTTACTGAAAAACAAAACATTCCTCTTTTCTTTCTTGCAGCAAAAGACACGCATCGAGTCTTTTACATGGGCCATTTAGTTCCAAATGCTGATCCGTTCTTTATTAAGCTTATCGGCTCTGGCTATGCCAAAGATATGCATCGAGTCTTTTATATGGGTCATTTAGTTCCTCATGCTGATCCATTCTTTTTTAAGATTATTGATTTTGACTATGCAAAAGATAATCATCGTGTCTATCTACATGGACAACTTTTACCGACTGCTAATGCCGTCAGTTTCACTCCTCTCGCTGATAGTGGCATGCCAATTGCTCCATCCAGTCCAATATATCCACCAGTTATGACACCTGCTTATGTTCATCCAACGATTTCACACTCAAATCATATGATACCATCATCAATGCATCCATCTAATCATTCAATAACACCAATACATCACCCATACCATATGACCACAACACCTACTCATCAACCAAATCAAACTGTTGTAGGAGGATATCTTAGAAGTAACGATTCAGTTCATAGTTGTATCTTAATATAATTGTTTGTTTTTCTTCAACTCATGTTTCCCTTTTCTTTTCTTAATACTGACGATGAAGGATACATTTAAACAACACTATTTATATACAAAGACGAGAGTACTGATGCATAGATTTTGCGATCTTTGACATATTCTGGATCGACTAGAGCAACTCTATTTAGATAAAAGTCAAGGAAGAGAAAGAAAAAAATTTTCGTTTGTTTTATAAGATCTCATTTTCCAATATAACATATGATCTATTCGTAGTGATATTCAATGAACATAATTGAAAAACTAAAATCTACACTCTCTCTTAAGTATTTTTCTGCTCCAGCTATAGCCAGCAACATATTTTTAACAAGTAATAGAATTTCGTTCAGAGTTATAGTACTCAATGAATGATTCAATTTTCTTAAAGTATTATATATTTAGACTTCACCATGTGAAACGCTTTTCTTCATTTCAGTTTCATTCGTTTTCAAACAGGTATAGTCATTTGGTATGGAATTTGTTATTTGTTCTAATAGGCATTGGTATATCAATAAAATCGATTCAACCACTAAAATACCAGTTATTTTCATTTTTGATACGGATGATAATATTTAAAATGTTGAAAGATCTAGTTCATTATTAATCATATATTAATTCGTATAAAAATAAAGAATTTATTTATTATACAATATCTGTTTTTCCAATTACATTTAGAGCAAATCATTTTCTTCATTCTGTTCGATTTTTTTCTTTTTGTTGTAGAATTCTCATTTCGCATATTGTTAATGTTATTCTTTTCATCATTATTGTTGGTTAAAAAATTTAATGGCTCGTCTGCATAATCGATGGTAGTTGTTATTTCGTATTGTAAACACGGCAGATTCATTTTGTAGAACAAAGCTAAACGAAAAAAATTGCAGAATGGCATATGAGATATTTTTGCATACCCAAAGCCAACATGTCGGATTTGTTGAATTGCGATTCTCTTATATCTGAAATCAGTAGTACATCATCATCAAAATGATAGTTACCATTGTGAACGATTTCCGAAAAAGTTTTGTAGATATTTGCAAATGATTTCTAGAACAAACGATGAAAATACTACTAAAAACATTTCTAGTCATTGCACCTACTTCTATGCTTTCTCTGCTTCTTGTCATTGTTCCATATTTCGGATGTTTTAATATTAAAGCCATATCATTTGTTTTGTATCGTTTCAACATAAGTTTCAAGACATCGTTAACCCTCAAACGCCCATCTGTAGGACTACCACTTATTACCCCACCTGGGTTCCGTACGGACCCCAAGATAATAAGATAGATACAATACACATTGTATGTATAATTCTATGCTAGCCTTATGCGGTGTATGATTTGTGTGTTACAGGCTTAGTAGCTAATAAAAGAGAAACCGTATTTCGTCATTTTATCTTTTATTTCTAAAACATTCCTTTAAGATCTATTTTTATCCTACAAATGTTTCGCTACACGTCGTGCAAATGGCTTTATGATGATCTGGACAACATGGAACATTACAACTTGAACAGTGAGTAGTAACTTTCCGATCGCGCTCTCTTGGACAAAGATGACAACGTTGCTTGACAGTAGCTTTTGAAGCGATAGTTGGATGTGAAGTAGCAACAATTAGTCCCATTGCTTATATAGCTAGTCGAACATTCTTTTGAAGTGCTTGTGGTTGATGTTGTCGTCGATCCAAATGGGATTAAACAAGATCATAGTCTAATTCGATGAGAGACAGACGTCCATGATGACTTTTCTTGCCATTTCATTGAGGGTTTTTGGTTGTACATACCACAAAAGCAGCAAGAGCACCAATATCAAGTATGTTGAAAAAGAAAACCATTGGTCGTCGTTTTGTCTTTCGTTTGCAAGGATATGTTTGATCCATATGATCAACACCACTTTTTGTATTATTGTAATATAAGTAGCGCTCATCCTTCGGATTCGCCGACTCTTTTCTAAAAGAATTCTTCTGCTGCCGAACATGTTCAAACGGCTTGAAAAACACATAAGACACTGCGATTGTTACTAGTCCTCAGCTGAATCATGAAACTGTGTCACGCATTAGAGTTAATAGAAAGCCAAGATTGTTCTTTTTTCATGAAACGAACCAATTAGGCATTTGTCAGTGAGTAGTTGTCCAGTGTTAACTGTGTTTCACAGCTAACAATTGCTTCTTTTCTATACTTTCAGGAAAATGATACCCTATCGAATATTTTCATTGAACGTTCGCGAAATTACTTTTAAAAATCTTTGATTTTTGATAAGGTTGCCCCGCACGTATACTCTACGGTGAATCTGGAATTCTAACGTCTAGTCGTTCGTCGGCCTCCCTCCGATCGGCCACTCACTGCTAGCCGTCGTCACGACTGCCTCCATTATCCCTGTTTGCGATGTATATTGGCTAAAATCCTGTCGAAAGACCTGACGTATCCTAACAAACAACGCAGTCATTATATTAAGCGCAAACTACTTCTGATAATTTCTTAAGCCTTTCCGGGAGGCTGTTCAAAGAATACCGTATCTCTCCCTCCCCTACGGCAAAAAATGTATCCATATGGGCACACCCAGCTAGAAAGGGTTAAACTACTAATATCATAATGTAAGATATACCAGATCTTTTTGTGTAAGCTGCATGAACTGCTGTCTTTGTACATATCACATCCGGGAATAGCGTTCAAACAACTACCTTCTATAACAGAATTTGTAAAACGCGCAGAAAAATATCTCTTTTGAAACAAGGAAGGAAATAGTCTAAGCTTGGTGAATAAGAAAAAACTAAGCTCAGATTTGAATTCTGTGGCATCGATCACCCTTCGGTCAACCCTTACCCTGCATATTAATAATCTATGTCTAGTTGACAGATCGTTAATTAACAGTTAATAATTAGTTAAAACTAACGTCAGATTCAAGTTCCCCAGCCTCGATTACCCTACCGGTAATCATTTTCTAACAACTATCGATCAATTTCATTGATTTTAAAAATACTGATTTCTGATTGGATAGGACAGACAGACAAACTTTAAGCTTTTTAGCACAGCATTTAAACGCTGTATAACCCTTTTTTTCAGAAAAGGGAATTAAACCCATCAAATAATTCTTTTACATAATTGAATGAACGAAATAAACATTAGTTTGAATGAATGTTTTAAAGAAATTTATTTATTATCAAAAGTAAAACATCTATCTATTTTATTGAACGGAAAGAAAGCATCGTAATACAAATTATCTAATAAACTACACATATATATTTCTTTACTCATTAATAGTAAAAAGGGGAAAACAGTGATAACCGGGTTAAATTTACATATTTTTGAAATTGCTTAATCAGTTTTTCTTCGATAAAGATCATAAAAAGAATCGATTTTGTTCTCACAAGTACCATTATCAATAAAAGATAAAATACAATTATCTAAATTGACAAGAGAAAATAACGTATAGATATTTAAAATACTAATATTGTATATTTGTTCATTAATAGAAATCATTTTTATATTGGAATCGAGATCATCTGTTTCCCAATGAAGAATCTTGAAGATAATTTGAAGAAGATCATCATCGATGAATTTGCTTAATTCACAATTCGAATTCAATTGAATAATTATATCCTTTTGCGGAAATTTATTCGGCATAAATTTCTTCCTAAAATTTTGTGTTTTCAAATTCCATAATTGTGCTGGTAAAGCAACAAGAGAATATTCATCATTATTAATAACATGATAATTACATCGTTTAAAATCATTTAAAACTTTTTTTTTATTATTCAGATGTTTTGAAATATCCAATGTTGTTAAATTATGTCGATCGACTAAATTGATAAAATGAATCGATTGTTGAGTGCCTAAAGGCCATTTAATAACTGGTTTCGTTAGAATTGAAAAACCATTCATATCTGAAAATAAGTTAAAAGTTTCAATAATTGTTTTCATACTATGCCAATGTAGTTGAGCAAGAAAATGGTTGATTATAATATCAATATTTTTCTTGTACTGATTGAAATCTTTCTTCACTTGATCAATAATATTTTGAAAAAGTATATCATACTCTTTGGAAAATGGTGGAAGTGGTGATAAACGAAGAGTAAGACCAATATGTGTACCCATTGTGTTAATTATATTTGGTACAGATAAATAACCAATAACAGGAAATTCGTTTGATTTTGGTAGATTCTTTTCTATCTTTGAATGATGATGATGTTTTTCAAGAATTTCCATTATACCAGGACTATCAAATGTAACAGCAAACGAAAGAGTTTGTTGATTGAATAATGTTTCATTAGCAACAAGAAATTCTGCAATAGCTCCACCGAATGAATGACCCGTATGCCATAAAATACCTGTGGAATTGATTCGTTGTCGAAATTTTTCAGTGAACTTTTGTGCTACTCGAAATTGTTCTAGAGCCGTGAGAGTATAAAGATAAAAATTAGTATGAAGTAAAACATTTTTAATATCAAAATTCGTTCCTCGATGTGCAATGACTATTTGTTTTGTTTCATTATGTTGAATTGCAATACCATAATAACCAGTATCATCAGTATCATTATGTTCATCGATAAACGACCAATAAGGAAGTAAAGACAAACGATCCTTGCAATAAGCGACATGGCTTATTTTAGCAAATTCTAAATGAGTTGGCCATGAATTCAGAAATGATTGTGATTGTATATTATTAAATTTTCTATAATCTTGACCTTTTTGTGATTTATATTTATTATAATTAACCTGAATTTTCTCTTGAAAATCAGTTAATTTTGACAATATCCATTGATTTTCGGCGTTTTCGGAGTTTGCTTGATACTTTTCAATAAATCTCTGTATGTATAAATCTGCGTCTGAGTGCATACCGAGCATATTGTATGTAAATATTCTATAAACTTGCGTTTTAATATTATTCGGATCATGTTCTAATGATTTATCAAAGTCATTGAGAGCTTCCTTATATTTTTTATGATAATAGAAAAGAAAGCCACGTAAAGGGTAAAATATTCCAAATGTGTTGTTAAATCGCTTTCCATGAATCTTTTCAAAACGATTGCAAATACAATTTTTGACAGATATCGCTTCTACCCAACGACAAACTTTCATTATTGAGTGGAATGACTGATATTCGGATTCGTAACTATTCATGATTTGTGACAAATCTTCTATTGCATTAGGACACTGACCACATTTCGACATATCCAGTTCAATTCCTTGAATTAAACCAATTTTCTCCTGATCTTTTAATGTTAAACCATTCTTTAACAAAATCCATCCATTCGGGTCAATTGAAGAGATATCTTCACAGTGTATCATAATATACCCTATCATACCCGACGTAATTATAGTGAATATAAACCATAAACAGAATGGACAACATTTTATAATTAAATCTTGAAGTTTGATAAATAATGTAAAACGCCAACGTTCGATAAATAATTTAAAAGACCAATGTTTGATAGATAGCAAAACCCTTTTGATAAGTTGTACATAAAGCTTGGTAGCTAATTTTTGAAGTTCGATACGTAATAAATCAAATTTGATATATTTTACTAAAAGCTCGATAGGTAATAAATAAATTTTCTTATATGTTACTAAACGTCCGATAAATAATTCAACAGGTTTGATTTTTTGTCCATGAGATTGGATAAGTGATACAGCATATTTGATCAATAATGCATCAGGTCCCATTATACACATGGCTAATATAGAATACACAATAGAAATAACAAGAACTAACCCCATTTTCACTGATACAAAAGCTATATCTTGAACGATATCTTCCCAAACAAATGTGGTAGAATACCAAAGCCAACCACACCAAAGACAAGTAACAGGTATTAAAAGAGATAAATAAGTCAACATATTCCAATTAGACTTAAAGTTTTCGTCTGAAAATTTTAATAACCAAATTGGTACGACAATAGAATATGATGAAAACAGTATGGTACTAGTTATACTCCGTAGAGGTATGAAGCTAGGTGATATGAAGCATGCGATTGAAAAGATTACTATTGCTAGAAATATTGTCTTTCGTAGTAATGTAAAAACAGATTTTGCTGATCTTGGCACTGGTGTAAAATATAAAAGAAAACCAAATAATTGCCTGTATTTTGAAGGAGAAATGTTGCTGACGACCAGGATATATCCAATATTGAGAAGAATAATGAATTGTAATAAAGAACGATTTCTAGGTGAGATCGGCGGCGTTTGATTACGATAGTGGCCATATGCACAAAAACTGAAGATTATTGAAAGCAAAAGAACTATACATACAACAATCATTGATCTTCGAAATCAATTAATGATAATATTTGATAAATTACGACTTATTCAACTTTAAAGGAATCAGTTTTTCAAATTTCTTTTTTTACATCTAAATGTAAAGTATAAAGTTCACTTTCAAAACTTCTAAAAACGCTCACGGATTATTACTGACAAAAAACCCTGTCTGAAGATCGATTCTAAGTAAATATTGCCACTGCGTTGTTATTTCCACCGAAGAATTTTTTCTCGTAAGTTCTTAAAGATTCCAAAGTCTTTTCTTTTATTTTTACTGACGATCCATTGATATTAAAAGCATGCTTTTTACCTGTTTTTTTTTAAATAGAATTTTAAAGTTTTTCTTTTTGTTTTGTTTCTTATCTAAAATCTAAAAGAACACCGAGGTATAATATCAATTATTGCCAAGATAGTTTTCAGTATTTAATTGTTATTTCGGAAGCGAGACAGGACTGATATAATCCTATGAACAAGGTCAATCAACTCTTAGATAAATCTGAGGAAAAAGCAGCAGAATCTTGTAAAAGTTCACAGGAATTGAAGAACTTTTTCCGAACCTTCGCTGAACAGATTGATTGTTTTTTATCTACATCTTACAGGTAGCAGATATGTAAAGATAAAAAAGACCCATCAACGCCATTTTTCTATAGCTATAACACCTGAAATTGAGAATGAGCGATACTAAGAAAAATTAAATCTTTCAATCTGAATTTCATACTTGAAATTCGCAGAACAGCTTCAATCCGATTTCTATTTTAAGTAACAAAGTTTTGAAATCGTTGATATATTTTGCGATAAATTTTAAAATTAGTTATCTTAAATTAATTGAATTGTTCAAAAATATACATCTAGAAAAAAAAACAATGCTTATTAAATGATATTAACTAAACGTGTACAATACATAGGAAGGAGGAATTGTCAATTTCGATATGATTCTCTCTATTCCTCAATAGAACATATTCGTCTTCTATTGTGTTTTTGAAAAACAGTCGTGTTCTGCCTCGGGATCTAATAATATTATTTCATAAATGTTATATTTTAACATAATATTTAATTAGTTAATAAATATTTTGTCTGCTTTGTGAAGACCGAGTTGAATAAAGTCATCCTTGACACGATCTGCATCATGTGTTTTCGTTTTATTATCAATTGAAATCATCTCCAATGACGAAATCACTTTGTTTTTTATTGAACTAAACACTACTTTAGTCAGAATCTTCATACGTATGAGCATTGTCAATATTCACTGGTGATAAGTGAGAATTTGTGATCAGATGATTGTATGTAACAGATAATCCCATTTCTTCAATATTAAAAAACTGTATCGGATGACTATCTAAAACGAAATATAAGGATCAGAGTAAGACAGAGAGAGTACAATTTCTATGTGATATGAGCATCGTTTCTATTCTTATCTTTTACATATACATGTATAAAAAATACTTAGCAGTAATAAAGAAAAACTCGATTGTACATATTAGATGCCAAAAATATATTGATAAGTATATATCACCATAAAAGTTGAAAAGAAAAGGCAGATACGTGGCATGAAAGCATTCCGATGGTAAGAAGAACTGAAGAACACTTTATAATTTCACATTAGAAAAAATATTTATGAAAATTTGAAAATCAAAAGGCGTCTTCTAGTGTGTTCAAAGGTTTAAGTAACAGAGAAGAAATAACTAAAAGCCAGAATTACCATCCACAATAAAATATTTCCATGTCAAATAGTACAATATTGAAACGGATATTTCCGCAAGATTTCTGAAATTTCTTAGAAACGATTTTTCGCGAAGTAAATGTAAGACTCTCTCAGAACCTCTAGCTAATTACCGTCTAAAAGCACAATACCATATCGTCTAGACACTGAATAGTATTCGGTCCAAATCATCGTGTAGGGTCTATTGTTATGGACACACTCAAGGGTGAACGCAACATGCAAAAGTAACGAGAACAGCCAGAATAAGTAAAACAGGAATACCAGTGTTCACAATCTATACAACTTTACCATCAAAATACATGCCAATACCAGTGCCCAAAATGAGAGCAATCGGTATAAGAGCATTCTCAGTAATAGCAACAGCATAATTGAAAGAAGTATGAGCTGTTACAGCAAGTATATCAAGTACAGCACGAAACATATAATCGCTTTTAGGAAGTTTATAAAATACAGCATGAAGCATGTGACCGCTTTCAGCAAACGGACTAAGTATAGCACGAAGCATGCCAACCCTTTCAGCACGCTCATAACGTTCAGCACGAAGTAAGTGATGGTTATCAGCAAGTTTACAAAGTACAGCACGAAGCATGTAATAGCTTTCAGAATGCTGATCAAGTTTAGCACGAGATATGTGATCGTTCTCAGCAAGCTTACGAAGTACAGCACGAAGCATGTGATCGCTTTCAGCAAGCTTATAAAGTTCAGCACGAAGCATTTGATCCTTTTTAACAAGCGTACCAAGTTCAGCACGAAGCATGTCATCGTTTTTAGCAAGCGTATCAAGTTCAGTACGAAGCATGTAATAGCTTTCAGGATGCTGATCAAGTTTAGCACGAAGTATGTGATCGTTATCAGCAAGTTTATCAAGTACATCACGAAGCATGTAATAGCTTTCAGGATGCTGATCAAGTACAGCACGAAGCATGTGATCGGTTTCAGCAAGCATATAAAGTTCAGCACGAAGCATGTGATCGTTTTTAGCAAGCTTATAAAGTTCAGCACGAAACATGTGATCGTTTTTAGCAAGCTTATCAAGTTCAGCACGACGCCTGTGACCGTTATCAGCAAGCTTATCAAGTACAGCAAGAAGCATATAATAGCTTTCAGGATGCTGATCAAGTTTAGCACGAAGTATGTGATCGCTTTTAGCAAGCTTATAAAGTTCAGCACGAAGCATTTGATCCTTTTTAACAAGCGTACCAAGTTCAGCACGAAGCATGTCATCGTTTTTAGCAAGCGTATCAAGTTCAGTACGAAGCATGTAATAGCTTTCAGGATGCTGATCAAGTTTAGCACGAAGTATGTGATCGTTATCAGCAAGTTTATCAAGTACATCACGAAGCATGTAATAGCTTTCAGGATGCTGATCAAGTACAGCACGAAGCATGTGATCGCTTTCAGCAAGCATATAAAGTTCAGCACGAAGCATGTGATCGTTTTTAGCAAGCGCATCAAGTTCAGCACGAAACATGTGATCGCTTTTAGCAAGCTTATCAAGTTCAGTACGAAGCATGTAATAGCTTTCAGGATGCTGATCAAGTACAGCACGAAGTATGTCATCATTATCAGCAAGTTTATCAACTACAGCACGAAGCATGTCATAGCTTTCAGGATGCTGATCACGTTTAGCACGAAGTATGTCATCGTTATCAGCAAGCTTATCAACTACAGCACGAAGCATGTCATAGCTTTCAGGATGCTGATCAAGTACAACATGAAGCATGTAATCGCTTTCGGCAAGCTTATCAAGTTCCGCACGAAGCATGCGACCGCTTTCAGTACGCTCATAACGTTCAGCAAGCGTATCAAGTTCAGCACGAAGCATGTGATCGTTTTCAGCAAGTATATCAAGTTCAGCACGAAGCATGTGATCGTTTTCAGGAAGCGCATCAAGTTCAGCACGAAGCATGTCATCGTTTTTAGCAAGGGTATCAAGTTCAGCACGAAGCATGTCATCGTTTTTAGCAAGCGTATCAAGTACAGCACGAAGGATGTAATCGCTTTCAGCAAGCTTAGCAAGTTCAGCATACTCATAACGTCCAGCACGCTTATCAGGTTCAGCACGAAGCATACGATCGCTTTTAGCGCGCTTATAACGTTCAGCACGAAACATACGATCGCTTTCAGCAAGTTTACCAAGTACAGCACGAAGCATGCGATCGCTTTTAGCAAGCTGATCAAGTACAGCACGCTTATAAAGTTCAGCACGCAGCATGTAATCGTTTTTAGCAAGTTTATCAAGTACAGCACGAAGCATGTGATTGTTTTGAGCAAGCTTATAAAGTACAACACGAAGCACGTGATCGTTTTTAGCCAGCTGAGCAAGTACATCACGAAGCATGTGATCGTTTTCAGGAAGCTTAGCAAGTTCAGCGCGCAGCATGTAATCGTTTTTAACAAGTTTATCAAGTACAGAACGAAGCATGTAATCGTTTTCAGCAAGGTTATAAAGTACAGCACGAAGCATGTAATCGTTTTTAGGAAGCTCATCAAGTACAGCACGAAGCGTGTAATCGTTTTTAGGAAGTTCATCAAGTACAGCACGAAGCATGTAATCGCTTTCAGCAGGAAGAATGTGATGGCCCGCAGCATGATGAGTGATAGATATTTGTTCGGTTTGATGAAGTTCACCTAGTTCATCATTATCATTGGAACTGAGTTCAGTACATTCCACAGAACGACGGTTGGTCTCTTTAGTCGGTTCGGCAAATAGAGTAGAACTACGGCTAGTGGTTTCAGTATGCCCCGGGTGATTATAGTAACGACCATGCATAAAGCCAGCAACTTCCTGGTATAGAGAAAAAACATGGGTAAAAGTGGCACGTATGGCTTTGACAATATCAGCAGGACTATTGAAGATGACACCAATACCCATAAGAAGTACAGCACTGGCAGCAACTCCAGCAGCAGTACTATCAAGAAGATTAAAATCAATAACAGCGCAAATAAGACGAAGAACAACGAAGGGAAAAGAATAATGGCCATCATCATCATTAATGAAATGTCCCCAAAGAACCACAAAAACAGCCACAAGAACAGCCGGAGCTGAGTCTCCTAACCAACCAGTGGTTACGTGAAGAGAAACACTGAACCAGCCAGCGAGACCACCAACAACGTGGCTCTGAGAGGTAACATGTGGACGAGCAAAACAGCCGGCAACAACACCCATAAGAAATAAAAATGCAGTAACGGGAGCACCAAGAAACCTATAACTCTTAGGAATAACATAGAGAATAGCAGCTGGTATAAATAAAAGAGCAACCCAACGAAGTAAAATAGCGCCATAATCACCGTGGGAATGAGTATTTTCCGGCTGTCCAATTTTCTTTTCCTTCGAAGTTTTGTGAATAGAATCTGTTGGGGTAGTCCAGATCTTGGACTCTGGTCCGATGTCGGCTGTATGCTTGTGAATATTTTGACGATAATTGTGCTCATTGTCATCTTTGTTATCCGCCTTATTCATATCGTGATGGCTGAATATTGATTGTCTTCGTCGGAGATGGTTAAAAAGTGCTACGATGAAGAAAAAGAAATTTTTTGTGGAGAGTATGATCATAAAATATAAATAAGTTTGTTCCTCATTTTGAGTTACATAGCCGACACACAAAAGCATCATGATTTCTCTTTCGAATGAGTTGAAAAATCCGAATAATCATGAAATGTCAGTGGTTTTCATTTTTCTACCTTTCATTTCTGCTAAAATAACGATAGGAATTTTAAAAGAAAGATTGAAAATGACTGCTCTATCCATAGGAATCACTAGTCTTTGTTGTTACAGAATGATAGGAGTGAGATTTCATAATAAAACGTATCATTAAAATATTATTAAACTGCTCTTTGTGGAAAATGGCAAAATTGGTGAAATTCTATAACATTGAGTCTTTTGAACTGTCTTATTCGAAGGGATTATTCTATAGTAAAATCGATAACATAAGGTGAAAGGTCGAGAAAAGTTGAACAACTCTTGTAACGAACGTTCATCTTTGAATAGTTTTGTTTTCTATAAAAATACTAAAATACGAGTTATAACTCCATAAGGACTTTATATAACTGAATGAAATTTTTGGTGGTATGAGAGCTCATTGAGGCTCATATCAGGGATATACCATTCGCACTCATAAGCATTCGTATAAGCATCAGCGTTTTCATTTAAGATATTCCGAAATATGAAACTGATTCAATGTTTTATTAATTGCATTCCTCTCTTCACGTTCTTGCAAGGGCGAAAGCAAACTATATTTCACTAATATACAGTTCATTAAACGTTTTAATAAATATTTTCTTACCGCTCACCCTAAAAACAGAGACAGTTATTTAGGATTATCATTATGAACATAAGTATTATTTTGAAAATAGATCAGTATGAATAGACTAAACTGATTATTGGTTCAGTATACAACATCGTTGGTATTTTCTCAAGTTTTGAGCAGTCATCCTATTCCGCAATGTTGAACATTTGGGAACCAGTTCCGTATCCGGAGTCAATTCCTACTAATTCCGAAATTCCATCTATCACATACATAGGCGATCCCGGGTCTGACCTAATTCCGCGGAATTCCGGAATTGGTGGGAATTCCTAGGAATTGCGTCACCGAATGCCGGAATCGTCTGTGTTTATGGTCGTGAAAGATGGAATTCCAAAGTCGGTAGGAATCGATTCCAGATGCGGAACTGGTTCTCAAATGTTCAACATTGCGGAATAGGACGTATTCTCCAAGTTCTTGGGAAGTAGACAGAATTTGTTAATTGTTAATATTTTCTTTTGTAACTTACGAGAAGATGAACTGTCGTGAAATTGATAGATTATTGATTGATTTGTGTTGAGATCTTCTCTATACTATCAGAGATAAATAAGTACATACAATAAATGATAAAATGCGTCGAAGAATATTATATTGTGTTTTTGTTGACGGTTCTTAATGAATGGTATCTGGAGAAAACCTATCGCCTTATATACGCTATATTTCTCTTCTCTGCTGTTTCGTCTGACATTAATAGTCAACACTATGAAATAACGTATAACTATTTCTATGTTATCCTTCCATTCCAATCCTGCTCGTTCTTTCACACACATATGTATACGATTTAGACATTTATGTCGTCTGTATTTTTCTTTCTTTTTTTCATGGTTGTTTCCAGTGGCGCAACCAGGATTTTTAGACCAATAGGCAAGTTTTGCTTACATCGAAAAAAGATGATGGGCAAAATGGGCAAAATTTTTATTGATGGGCTAATCAAATACTTATGCCTGTGATATAGTGATAGTGATGTCATGGGACATCTCCCTCCTATAGATGCCATGACACTCTTGTTCTTGTTGGAAATATCCTTACGGAATATTCCATGTCGTCATAGGCTGTTGGAATACTCGCAGGGTATTTCCCCCTTTCTGTTATATATATAGTCATGATGTTTTCTTAGTGTAGTTCAGTTTTATGTTTATTTCTAAATAAACTCTCTCTCACTTCAAGACATGACAATGCCATACAAAAAAAAAATCGAAAACGTAAAATGATGTTTCTTTTTCAAGAGGGATGCATCAAACTTAGATCATAAGCGCTAATCATACACATCGTAATCGATTTTTATTAGTGGCGCATCTACGACCTCACATTACCAAGCCACCGAGTTTTTGGAAACCTCCCTACAGGGATACGGGATTCTTTTCTCCCCTGTTTCGATTAAGTCTTTTAGGAAACCTGTAAGAAAAATAAAAACGTTGTTGGAAAAATTCTGAAAATTTTAGAGATTTTTAGTTTTTTATTAAGCATTGCCAGGTGGCCCATTAAAATTTGATTACGCTGCTAATTTTGATATATCTATCTGATGAAATTTATATTTTAGATTTAAAAGTCCGTAATATTCTAGTGAAAACACGACGAAAAATCGGACTATAACTCATAACTTATCTATTTTTAACTGAAAACCAATTCAAATGAGACAATTTTAAGCAGATTTTAATCAAGTTTCATGATTCTCAATTAAATTTAGTCAATTATTAGTCGAAAAAATTGGTTTTTATATATTTTGAGCTATTTCTTTTTGTTTCGTGGAAACTGTACGTAGAATTCATGCAGCAGAAATAGGTCTCTCAATATCTTACCGAAGGACAGATAAAATTTTTTTTTTAAATTCTCGATGGGCAATAGCTAAATTATGAAAATTTCAATGGGCAAAGCTCAAAATCTCAGTGGGCAATTGCCCATTTGCCCCCCCCCCCCCCCCC